TGTTCATGAAACAGAACGAAAGAAAAAATATCGTTCAGAGAAAAATAGAGAGAACGATAGATCCTTGTCATTTTGGCTGGGAAATCTATTTTTAAAAATTTTTGCTAGGGACTTGACAATATCCCTCCGAGAAAATTTCGCCATCATGTTCAACTTTTCAAGCTCTTTTCAATGATATAATTTTTATCTACTCTGCACAAAGTTGAAAAAATCGAACCGGTTGATATGTATAACGAATAAACACATATAACGATACTCTTTCTCTTTTCTCGTGCACCCAGCGACATCATTTGAGAATGAGGAAAAAATTTCAAACCAAAGGAGGTCGGTTGGCAAGCAACATAGAGTGTAAAAGACAGTACAACAGAAAATAGAAACACTAACTCAGAAAAAAATGAGTGCTACACACTATCAAAATCATTCTGCAGGTTTGAATTTTTGTCTAATAATTAAAATTTGTTAAACCATCAATAAATGTATTTATATAGATCAAAGACATATGAGATCTCCAGAAGGTTCCGATATGGAAAAACGTTTTAATGATGCTAAATCTTATATCACATCAACAACAGGGAAAGATGGTGTTAATTTGTAAATTATAAAAATTTTCTTGTTTTTGTTTTACTCCTATGTTATATCTTCGTTTTGCTTTTGTCTATTAGATATGATCATTTGGTAAAATGTGTATCTCGATTATTAACAGAACAACCTCGTAAGATATAAGAAAAAAATAACTATATTTCTTCAATTAAAATTTCAAATATTTTATTTCTAAAGGTGATTCTGTTACCATATTTGAAGATGTTAGTAAATTAGCTCGATCTCAACAAGTGAAACCACAAGAACAGCCAGCGGAAAATACTGAACATATTTTAGCTGAAGAACAAAAACCTCTTTTTGAAGTAACTGTTCATTTTAGTTTTGTTTTAAATTCGTGCTAATATTTATTCCTATAGAAATCTGATAATGCAGAAGAACTTGACGATGAAGCATTACAAAGTCCATTGCCTCATATTCTCGAACAAGCTTATTATTTTGAACAAGCTGGCATTGGTCTTGGTAGAGATGAAACATATCGGTACAGATTTATTATAGTTTTTGTTTTCTTCTACAAACACATTTTATTTTTCGATCATTAGGATTTGGCTTGCATTGAAACAATTAGTTGATAAAGGTCAATATGAAAAAGTACGGTTTTGGGGTAAAATAGTCGGTACTGAAAAAAATTATTACATAGCTGAAGTTGAACAAAATGCTGAAGAAGAAGCTGATGATGACGATGGAAATGAAGAAACAAGTGAAAATGATGATGCAAAAGATGCTGATGATGAAGAAGGTGAAGGCGAAGAAGATCCTTTACCGAAATCGACTTATAAAGCACCACCACCTGTACCTAAAGAAGAGCGTGGTACTGGTGTTAATAAATATACATATCATGTTTGTAATCATCGTAAGTTTTTCTTCTATATTTAAGGGGAAAAAACCCATTCAATTGTTTTTATTTTTGCCAGCTGGATCTCCATGGGTTAGATTGCCAATAGTAACACCAGCACAAGTATCTCAAGCACGACAAATTAAAGTGTTTTTTACTGGAGATTTAAATCGAGAAATAAAATCCTTTCCAGCTTATCCAGGTACAGAAAAAAATTATTTACGTGCTCAAATAGCAAGAATTAGCGCAACAACACATGTATCACCTGCAGGAAAATTTAAATTTTCGGATGTAATTATGATTGAATTGAGTTTCAAAGAAAACAAAAAATTATTTTGTATGTTTTTTAGGAAGAAGAAGAAGCCGAAGAAGAAGGTGGAAAACAAAATTATCAAGAAAATGAAGATTTTACAGGTGCACCATTATCTGAATTAGTTCACGAAGACTTGAATGGATGGGTAAAGAACAGTCATTCAATCTTTTATTTTATTTTTATCGAAGTTTTTTTAGGTGCATCATGTTTTACATGTTCTTCCTCAAGGTCGAACAAAATGGTGGAATCCAAATGATAATGGCGACAAAGAAGAAGAAGAAGCAGAAGAAGAAGAAGACATGAAAGCTGCAGCACCGGGAGCACAACCTGAACAAGGACCACCACTTTTAACACCAATTGGTGTTGATGCTGAAATTCAAAATACAAAAGCATGGACAGCAAAAATATCTTCAAATCTTATTCCACAATATGCTTGTGCTTTTGTTCGGTCGAATCTGTGGCCTGGTGCATATGCATTTGCACGTGGAATGATTTGGGAAAATATTTATGTTGGCTTTGGACATAAATATTCAACAACAGATTATAGACCAGAATTACCACCGTTGCCAGCCAATGAATATACTGATTTACCGGAAAATATTGAAATTGATGATCCAACACCAGAAGATGAAGCTAAAGCTCGTGCTGCTGAAGAGCATGGCGAAGAGGGAGAAGAAGAACACGAAGAAGAAGCAGAGAATGAAGAAGAAGATGATTAAATTTCGATTATTATTTCTGTGTTTCTCTTTTTTTTTTCTTATTTAAATACAATCATCTCTGGAGAATATATTTCTGTATGTGAAAGTTTTTCATCGATACATTATAGAATTAGTCTTGGATCGTCACAGACTTTGCTCATCGGATGATTCAAATAAGCAAGAGTCATCATATCTTGATGGTCGAGTTGAAAATCAAATATGGATAAGTTTTCCATCATGTGAATAGGATCACGAGTACGCGGATTGACTATGATGCCTTGCTGCCAATGCCAACGAAGAACGACTTGAGCAGATGTCTTATGATATTTTTCTGCAATTGCCATAACTTCAGGATGAGTGCGTAGGTCAGGTATGGGATTCCACGTGGGACCAAGTGTTATAGCATGATCGGGACAACCCACTGGTGAATAGCTATTAAATGTAATATTATGCTTTTGACAGAAGTCAACTAGTTCATCTTCATGCCAATAAGGATGAAATTCAACCTAAAATGAAAATATTACTTAAATTGACATTTGATAATGTAAAATATACTTGATTGACACTAGGAATAGTTGAGTTTAAGTTAAAAATTTCTAGTAAATGATTGGCTTCATAGTTGCTGACACCTATAGCACGAACCCGTTCTTGTTGAAATATAGTTTCTAATGCTTGCCATGTTTGAATACGACACTCGAACCATGTTGTTTGTCCTTGCTTGCAAGAAGGAACTGTTTCATTGGACTGACTTGCTGTTTGACCAGGCCAATGTACCAAAAGAAGATCAACATAATCAGTCTGTAAAGATTTGAGAATACCAGAGAACGCTTCCAGTGTTTGATTATAACCAGAAGGATCGACTTTCGATGTAATGAATATTTCAGCACGGGATACACCACTAGCTACCCAACCCGTACCGATACCATCACGTGAAATATAATTATCAGAAGTATCGATACGTCGACCACCCATTTTTAACCATGCAACCGTAGCATTATGACCTTGTTCAGGTCCCCAATACTCACCACCTGAACCATCAGGATTGCCATAGCCTCCTGTACCTAATCCTATCACAGGCATAAGTACTTCTCCATGAACAGCATTCATAAGACGAACCGAAGGTTGCTCATGAATAGCTTTCAACGCTGAAGCATAATAATGAATAAAGAAGATAAAGAATACAACAAAAAGCATACGTGAACCAGACATGGCAAAAAAAACTATCGAAATATTGCTTTCAAGGTAAACGAATGTGAAAATAATTGAAGAATGGCAGCAGCGTGAGAGAACTGAAAGCTGACGCAAACAAAAAATAATTCGCACTAAGAGGCTGGAATACAAAATAAATCAGTATCAAAGATGATATAATACTGTTATTGTGTGCATTAACAATAATCGATTCCGTGTTACTCTACTCGGTCTTTTCCGGAGTGTCGGTAACCAAAACTTTTCACTATTCCCACTCGCTCGAATCTCTTAGATGTTTGAATTGAGATATATTCAATAAGACCGAGAGTGATCAATACTATTAGCATAGTTCACTGTCGATAATTACTAATGGAAAGTACATCAATTTCAAACAATTGTAAAATAGAGCAGCAAATGCAATTCTTGTTATACGTAGTATCTCTGATTGTTAGTGTGCTTTGACAGTAAAAATAGTGAATAATTTAGGCATCATTGGTGAGTGGCCTTTCCTTTTTATTGTTGCTATTTAATAGAAACAAAATGAGGAGTGGGAGAAAGCAAGGATCATTGTTGAATAATTATAAAAATAATAGTTCAAATGTGTTTTGAGAAAATCAACCGCACATTGCATATCTACCACCCCGTCTACAATAGCCATCACCGAATCCATGAACACGACAACATGTTTGAACATGGCCACCAGTTCGACAAGGATTATTGCAAACAGAATAATAACGCCAGGCCATGAGTTGTCCAACGATTATAACAAACGGGAATTGTGATAGAAATATTTCAAATCATCTGTTGTTTCTTTCTCCGAGAGAATTTACTCACCAATAGTTAACACATGAGGAATAAAAGGAACGTACGATTCATCATGGTGATACTGTTATTGTACGAATAGTATTCAAATGTTATAATCGTTGGACAACTCATGGCCTGGCGTTATTATTCTGTTTGCAATAATCCTTGTCGAACTGGTGGCCATGTTCAAACATGTTGTCGTGTTCATGGATTCGGTGATGGCTATTGTGGACGGGGTGGTAGATATGCAATGTGTGGTTGATTTTCTCAAAACACATTTGAACTATTATTTTTATAATTATTCAACAATGATCCTTGCTTTTCCCCAAATTGATGATGCAAACACTTCTCCGCTTGCTGCACTGATCTCTATTTTTTATGAAATATAAATGAAAAAAGAAAAGAGCAGTTACAACTGTTCTTTAAATTACATATCAATTTCACTTTCAGCACATAACGACAATCGCAGATGTCATGAAAGCTATGCGAAGAATCATTGCACTGCTTAGCTACGCTAGCTTTGATGTCACCTTGAAAATGAGTCCGGTATTTTGTGTTAAAAAAGCCCCTAGCCAACTCTCCCTAGAAGAATCCCCAGTGAGTCCCTAGGGATTTCGTTCTTTTTCGGGGATTCCCTGGGAACTCCCCGGGGAGTTGTCTGGAGAAAATGGATGAAATATCTAATTACTAGTAGATTCTTCTTAATTTTTCAAAATTTAAAAAAGTTAAAAGGCTTTTTTATTTTAAAAAATTTCATCGATTCTCCCCAGAGAAATCCCCGGGAGTCCCCGAAATAAAAAGACCCATGGGACTCACGATAGGTGCTCCCCAGGGATTTCGTTATTTTGCGGGGAGTCGTCGGGGGAGAGTGGATTAGGGAGACCTTTCGTAAAACAATTCCATTACACAACGCTTTTTTTCTAGTAAAAAAAATTTAAAAACGGACATACATAGCCAGGCAAAGTCCTCGCTTGAGAGTTTGTAGTGGCAAAATATCATACCCTTGAAAATAGCTGTGGCTATGTCACTTTTCTTTCTTTCGCTTCTTTCTTTCTCTTAATTTCATTTATTTCGAAAGATATTATGTCATTGACATGTTAGAAGATGCCTGAAAATGTCGCATTTCTTGACTGCGTTCAACTATATATTATTTGTATAGAATGTTTTTTTAAATATTTTATTTCCTTTTGCTACTCACTTAAAGTTAGCAAAAGAAAGTTTTGAAAAAAAGAGTATCTGTATCATAGAATGTACTTAATTTATATCTCACATTGAGAATATTTTTCAAGGGACAAGAGAACCTACACATTATACACTATTATTTTGTGCTAAATACGGAAATAGTTTCACTTTTTTTTATTCAGAGAAGAGCTGTAATTTTTTATACTCATTATATTTTAAAAGAAAAAATGATAGAAACGGTTCATGTTTGTTTTTGCCGTGTATAGGATAATTTTGGAATCTGATTAACGGTTCCAATTCTAGGCCAACTGTTCATTCAAAGTTTTCATTATTGTACTTATGATTTATTTATCATTTTCTGAATTCGGTTTTTGATCAGTTAGATTACAATTTATATTTATGAATAGTAGATAGGACTTTGTGATGGATTAATTCTGCATAACAGATAGATTATCTGTATTTAATTATTAAAAGAAACGTCTTATTAATTGTTTATCACAAGAGAATAATGTAAAAAATAAATAACTGAACTTGATCATAACAGACATTGATTTTCATATGTCGTATAACAGAGTCCAGTAAATATACCTTATATTGGCACTAGTACAATTCATCGCAATCAATTCGTTGCGATCAGTTCGTCGCATATATAAGAGAGCATATATTAATTGAATTAAGATATCTAGTGTAGAATGTTATTTAATTAATCATGTAAATTGTATACGCTGTTGTTGAATTATTAAATGTACATGGGGAATATAAGATGCGCTTCAAAAAAAAAGCAATAATTTACTTTTGAAAAGATTTCTTAAAGAATTTTCTCTTAAAATACAAAGAGTCTGATGATAAATAGGATTACAGTCCTTTAAGGGGATAAATCCTGATGAAATCCTCACCTAAAAAATAAATCAATGAAAGCAAATTTCACTTTTTTAAGTATATAGTTCGTTCAGTACTGCCTGGGACAGTTTTCTGTGATACGTAAATATGCTCGGTTAGTGGATAAAGTGGTTCAAACATTTTCAAAATAGGCTTCACGTTTATGCTCCGAAGATTGAAATTTAAAAGAATTATTGGACGGAGGAATAGATTTTTAAACCCTCATAAAAATTAGAATTGAAAGTTTAAAATTCAAGTTAAAATTGTTGAAATTTAAATTGGAAAGAATTTTAAGAAAATATGATCAAGGTTGGTTCAGACTTTATTGAGAGTATTTCAAACTATTTTTTTTACATTTTCTACAAATAGACGTAGTGTTTCGTCTACAAATTGTGTTAAGAAATAAATGTTGTCGATTATCTCTGGAATACAGAAGATTGAATTTCAGGAATCATGTATGATTTGTTGAAGAATTTTGATTTTTATCAACACATGTGTAACTCAAATACTAGATTTTCTTATTTTTCTTATGTGTTACTGCTTTAAGTCATATTTTTTCCAAATAACGATAACTAATTCGCATCATTACGAATTATTGAATAAAAAACATTATTTCTATATAATTTTAATTTTCATACTAGAAAAAAATTAATCAATTTTTAATTCTTTTGCCATTTAAATTCTAGTTAATTTAATTTAAAAAATCCTGTAAATTCAGATCTCTATTGTTAAAAAAGTATTATCAAGAAAGAGCCATTATTCTCTGAAGAAAAACATTTTTCAGAGTGATTAATTAAATAACATTCTATACTAAATATCTTAATTCAATTAATGTATGCTCTCCTATATATGCGACGAACTGATCGCAACGAATTGTCGTGCGACGAATTGAACGGTCACCGATATAAAAAAAGCCTCGAACGGGAGGGTGTGGCTTTCTTTGATTGCTTTTTCAACCGTTCACGTCCACGCGTACATCCCACGCACACCCCAACCCCAAAACACACCCATGTAATAAAAACCGCATGAAAATCGGCGGTTAACCGCGGTTTTACTGATCCGGTTACCGGCTCCCATTACCGCAGAACGGATAAATACCGCGGTTTACCGCAAAAAATGATCCGACATTTACCGCGGTAAACCGCCGGTTTTGATTAATACCAGAGACCGAAACCGATGACAAAAGTGCCATTCGATTCGATTCGGCTTTTTAGGACTGTGATTCGATTCGATTCGGGTTTTCCGGCCTTTTAAAAATTGTAATTCGATTCAATTCGGGTTTTCAGGCCTTTTTAAAATTGTAATT